CCCCCCCCAATTCATGAGCCATTTTAACACTTGGGGAAATAGCCTGGATTTCCAAATAGCCTCAGCTTGGCATAGGGCTTGACCCTGGAAAAAATGCCAAAGAGATGAAGTTTGTTTTTGAGAAAATCTTCGTCTCTCTTGCTGAGCCCCCTTCTGTCTTCCTGCTTCAGATTTCCTTGATAAGGAACCACCCAGCAAAATTTCTCCTATCCCATTAGGGTCAAACAAATCTGAGAAACGAATTCTAGCTATAATGTAAATGTTTGATAAGGGCTTAATGTTTCATTCAGTCAAGGTCCTAGTTGCATTTTGATAAGTGTCTTGAATACCTCTACTAAAAGGCAAGAGGGCATGATTAAAGTAGGATATTTTCTGATGGGGCCATCTACACTGCTCAAGCATATTTATAAACATTAATGGTAAGTGTTTGGAACACACTGCAATTTGTTTTAAATCAGTATTCAAGTTCTGAAATAAAATAGTCAGATTTCTGGTTCTAATGTCTTGTTGACTATTAAAGAGAGTGCTCCTGGCATTAAAACTACCACCTACACACAGTCCAAACATCAGGGAAAGAGCACAGAATTGGAAGCCAGAGCATTCCATGACCCCATGACCTTTGGTAAATCATTCCATCTCTCTGAGTTTCAAGATGGTAATTTCAGCTCCTACTTTATGGGATAGCAGTAAGGATCAAGTAAAGCAATAGACTTGAAAGCACTTTATAAATTATAAAGCATTGTAATAGGTAAAGAATTATCATTATGTCATGAACTTGCTGATATTTTTAAAAGGGCAATAAGTGAATAGAAGCTTTTTATATCTACCAACCCCCATGACTGTGAATATAATAAACAGCGGTCAAGAGCATAGACACTTGAGGTTAGACAGAGCTGAATTTAATGAGGTCAGGCACTTGCTAGCAATGTGACTCTGGGCAGGTTAACTAACCCTTCTGGTCCTCACTTTCCTCATCTCTAAAATGGGAATAAGGAATAGTCTCTTTCTCCCAGAGTTGTGAGCATAAAATGAGATAATGCATTTACAAAGTGCTTAGCAGAGAGCTTAGAAATATTTACCACTGTTTTTCCCTCCTCACTCAGAATAAGCTCTCATACTCCTAAAAGTGCAGCCAAGAGGCCACACATAAGTCCCGCCTCCAAATGGGTAGGTGGGAGCCCTTAGAGAAAGTCCTCAGTCTCTAGGTAAACATTTAGAGCAAGGGCTCCGAGAGGACTCTGGAGCTTCACGTTTCACCCAGAGCAGGCAACAGTTGGAGCAGCTGCTAAATTAGGGGAAAATATTCTTTGCAAGGACAGGGAACCTGCAGCTGACCTGCAGAGTGGTTCTTCAGATGCAATCCCAAATCAAGGTCCCTCCGGGGAGAACCACATATGCAAATGAAGCTGAGAGAATCGGCCTTGCTTTCTTTTGCACACTGCAGTGATTAGGCCTCACACACCATTCAGTCTGGGGTCAGATTGTCAGAGAGAAGGTGAATTCCATTGGCCTCAGGGGGAAGAACATGCCCTTGCCCCCCCATCCTTCACTGGGTGTTTCCTAAAAGCCAAGGGCCTTAGCTCACCGGTGTGGATGAAGGTGTGTTTTTTCATGTCTGACTTCTGATGGAACCTCTTGCCACAGTACTGACAGGGGTAGGGCCGGGTGTCTGAGTGGATGAGGAGGTGTGTGGACAACGTCGAGGACCTCTTGAAGCTCTTGCCACAGATCTTACAGTCAAAGCTCCTTTCCTGTGGAGAGAAAAAGGTGACCTTCTTATTGCAGCCATCTAAGCTGCCATGCTCCTTACTGACTCAAAACCAGAGCTTTCCCTTCTTTCAGACTCCCTCTCCAAATGGTCTGCCCCATTACCCTCTCTCCTCCCATTTATTTCCAACCTCTACCTTCCCCACCCTTATTCTCTGCCCGTTTGACTTTTTTTCTACCCGAACACTTTTCACCCACAACCCTCCTCCACACCCCATGGCAAACCCTATGTATCCCCACCCTGCTTTTTTGACACCCGTTTACAGTAACTTCCCCACCCTCCTCAACAGGAGGCTTCGACCTCAGTCACTTGAGATGCCCCCTCCCTTCAGCCAGTGTGGGTGTTGAGAGAGATGAGAGAATACTCTTTTTAGTAAATAAGTGCCTGTAACTAAGCATTGTCCTGTCATAGTTACTTGTGCACTCATTTGTTTATGTACCTTCTGTCTCTCAGCTAAACTAATCTCTGGGGCATCCTGTCAGGGACCCCATGTGTTACAGGGCTCCCATGTGCCCAGCACCTGGAAATATTTTGAGCAAACGAATGAAACCATAGCAGGACAAATATGCTTCTGGTTGCTCTAAATGGCCTGAGATCCCTCCTTTTCAGTCGGGAGGGGCCAATGCAGATTAGCTGAGGGAAAGAAACAGCTAATAAATCTGGCGTGTCAGCAGCAAGAGTGCGTACAAACTCTCCTCAAACCCAAAGTAAAGATCAGGATCGCACTCTGGGGGCTCACAGCGAGGTGACACCGAACTCTAGGGCTGCCTGGGGCCGCCACCCACCTTTCCCTGCAGACCTACGTCTAGGCAAGGGGACCAGGCCGAGGAGACGGGGCACTCGCGGGAGAAAGCCGCCAGGTGCAGAGCGGCGGGGCCGCGCAGAGACGCGGACGATCCGCGGGCGCGGAACCCCCGCGCGCCCTGCCCCACCCCCGCTCACCTGTGAGTGCACCGCCTTGTGCTGCTCCAGGCTCACCGCGTGCCCGAAGGTCTTGCCGCAAATCTCACACGCAAAGGGTCTCGTGCCGCTGTGAGACCTGCGCACGTGCACCTCGAGCCCGTGCGGCGTGGAGAACACCTGAGGCGGGTGGGGCCAGGGAGAGGGCCGCTGAGAGGGGCCGAGGGG